AAAATAGACGTTATAAGCTGATATTTTACCGGTAGATTATTTACTCAAAACAAAGAGCTTCCTGTCTCCCGGGACTTTGCAGGCTTCATTTTTGTGTAGAAACGGAACCTCCCCATCACAAGCAGCAACTGCTTGTTGACACTTTGCGCCACTTAACGGAACTCGCCCGTTTTCCTCACCAGCAGATGTCGTGCCTCACGTTCATGGCGCCGCGACCGCGCCTCCTGTTGGCCTCCGGGAACGCCGTGTTCCTGCCGCTGCGCCCCACCGTGTGGGCGTGCTGGGGGGCGGCCATCGCCGTGGCCTCGGTGAGCGGCAGGGCGCTGCACGTCGCGGCGCGGCGGGCGGCGGCGGCCACCGGCAAGCGTAAGGGTACCCTCCTAGCCCCCCACTTCCTCTCTACTAGTTCCCCTCTGCCACGCACCCCACGGCTCCCTTTTCTGGCACTTGCTCCCTCCCACAGACTTTGCCTCGCTGGACCGCTGCCTGCTCGTGCTGCTGGGTGGGGCCGTTGCGGCGTACATCCCACGCTCCACGGCGTCCCTCGGGCCGCACCGCCATTTGGTGGCGTGGTGGGTCGTCTTCGCCATGCTCATGACGACTGCCTACTCGTCGGGGCTGATCGCCCAGCTCACGCTGTCGCGCTTCGAGGCCGTCGTCGACACCCCGGAGGACATTGTGCGGAACGGCCTGACCTGGGTCAGCACCTTCGCGCCCAACTTGCACGTCATGATGAACCTGGAGGTTAGTGGTGGCGGTTGCCTTCGGTTTGGTTCGCGCCGCTCCGCCTGCAGCTTGTTGTGCTCCGCAGAACGAGGCCGAGCGGCGGGTGGCGGAGGACCTGCGTCTGGTGGACGGAGCGCACTGGGAGGAAGCGGTGGCCTCGGGGCGCCACGTGGTCCACGGCCAGCGGCTGGACCGTGTCTACTTCTTCTGGGAGGGCGGCAACCTGGGCTCGGCCACGCTGTCGCGGCTGCGCGTCATGCGCTCGTGCTTGGTGACGTACCCGGCTGCCGTGGCCGTGGCGCGCGGCTCCCCGCTGCTCGCGGTGCTGAACCCCGTGCTGCTGCGGCTCACCCAGGCCGGGCTGGTGGCCTACTGGCAGGACATAGTGTTGGCCACGCGCGGCCGCAGCGCCGTTTTCGCCCTGCTGGCCGACGGGGGAGAGCGTAGGGCCGGCCCCAAGGTAATTAAGATTACCGGAAACATAATGACTTGAATATATTTATACTGATACTTTATACGTATTGTATGGAAGCGTTAATTTGATTCCGTGTTTCGGAACACGGCAAAAACCGGTAAAAATCTTCCCAAGTGTTAATGTGTGGCCTTACTCGACAGCCGCTGGAGCTAGTGCAGCTGCGCGGTGCCTTCCGCGTGCTCGCATCTGGGTTGGCGTTTGCCGCCGTCGTGTTCGCCGCGGAGCTGCTGTCCCGGCACCGCAGCGTGCGCAACGGCCGCTAGTGAGGACAGAGGCGCCAGAACAGGCGCCAGAACAGGCGCCAGAACAGGCGCCAGAACAGGCGCCAGAACAGGCGCCAAGCAAGCGAGGCTCCAGGGGAGCCACCAGGGCAGTTGGGCACCGCGGGGGAAGGTGCCATCCTCCTCGATCTCGCGTTCGTGTTGTTTTGTACTTTATGTATCAAGTAAAACCGTTTACGTTGTTGGGTTGGCGTTTGGTTGACCCGGAGCCCTTCCCTATCTCCGGGCGCAGTCTATGTGTACCGCGCCTCCAGGAGCTGCACTTAGCTGCGTCACAAGGTCAAGGAGGGCCCTGGGGCTGCAGGCTGCATGAGTGGGCGGCTGAAGAAGAGGGAGAGATAGGACACGCCGCCGTTGCGCCGCTGGGCTCGCCGACACACACGCCGCAAGCTGCCCTCTATCGGGTGTCTGTTGAGGTGGAACGACATGCCGGGCCGCGTTTCAGCCGTCCAAATCATGGAGTTATTACACCTGGGCTATTGCGACCTCGTTATGCAAGTGCACAGTTTTTATAAACTGATGGGAAATATTTATGGAAACGTGTTTGCAGAGTCACATGCGTCATTAGGGGCTGAAACAAATGCGTTACTCGCTTTTGACAGTGGCAAATTGGTTTATTTGGCATTATCGCACAGAGGATATTAGTGTCACCCTGGTGTCTGTCACCCACTGCGTGGCTAAAAGCGCCCCGTCACGGCCGGGTCGCACAGGCTGCACAGCACCTCGGCTGCGGGCAGCACCCGGCGCACCTCGGTGCGCTGCTCGCAGCAGGCGGCTGTGTCGTGCAGCCAAGCCACCACCCTCCACAGCACGAGCCTCTGCAGCGCCCGCAGGCCGCACTGCCCCAGCAGCGAGTGCAGGTCGCTGCAGCTGGATGGCCAGGCCTCGTCGCCCGCCGTGCCCACCAGCAGCGCCAGCTCCTCGAGCGAGTGGCCATGAGCCTGCAGCAGGGACTGCAGCGTGGCGCGGGGGAGCCAGACGGTGAGCCACCTCAAGTTGCCGTGTCCTGGCGGAAGCGGGGGCAGCTCCGGGGGCTTAGCGTCCAGGGCGCCATCGTCTCCCCAGACGAACAGCCTCCTAAGCCGGGGCATGGCGTGCACCGCGCGCAGGTGCGGCTCGCGGGAGTACATGACGCTGAGCTGCTCCACCGTGGGCGCGGCGCGCTGCAGCAGCTGCAGGCTCCAGGCCGGGTCCGAATGACAGTACACGCCGACTAGCCGTTCCACCTGCGGCACAATAGGAATTCTCTCGGAACAGGGTTGTTCGCTCAGTCTAAAACGGACTGGAAGAAGATGTAAAGAAGTTAAAGCGTACTCGGAAACACCTGCATATATTTGTTTTTGTGATGAGTCGCGCGTTCTATGCTTAGATACACATTCGCACAATTCGTGCAATACAAAACTACTAAAGTAATACAAATCTTTACCAACCAAATCTTGCAATTCATAATAAGAATCATGCAACCCCAATAACTTACCCCTATGACGTTCCCCAGGGCTGCTGCTTTTTCTTCCGAATCGTCCCTGGCGCAGATTTCGCTAACGTTCACTTCGAGTCGTGGTTGGTCGGCCTCTTCAGCCGGAGGGCACTGCGCAGCTAAGATGCTCGGCTCCGGTATCGGTTCCCGCTCCGACTCCGGCTGAGTTCCCATCTCCCCTCCTCTCTCGAGGTCCACTTCGGTCAGCGCGGCCCTGGTCGCTAGGACCAGCCATACGGCCTTGACGAGGGGGTCCTCGGTGTCCCGCACGGTGCCCTTCAGCTCGCGCCCACCGCCCCGCAGCGTCAGGTCCCACGATTCGGTGGCCAGCAGCGTGAGGGCCTGCAGGGCGCGCTCCCTCTGGCACTGGCCCAGCAGGCCGCCTAGCTGGCTGGCGGCCTCCGCCATCACGCCTTGCAGGTGGCGCCCGAGAGCGGCCTCGGTGTCGAGGACCTCGTGCTGGCGGCAGGAGCGGGGCTCGGCAGCGGCGCGGCAGTCCCAGCACCAGCCGCCTGCATCCCTGCGGCGTGAGCCAGGGGGTGTGAATTGCGTCCCCTTCTGCGAGACGAACACCGACGTCGACGACGTTGCTCACCTGGTGCCTTCTTGGTGTTGGCGCTCCATGTGCTGCAGTGAGGTTGGGCGCCCAGGAGTCCCCAAGGTCGCGGAGGGGGTTGAGTGTCACGAGACGATGCGCTGCTGTGTGCTTGTCACGTCCTACTAGTTCGCCGGACAGTCAGCTAAGCCCAGCCGGGCCGGGCTTGCTGTGATAAGGACTGATAACCGGCCAGTGATACAGTTTTGATGTGCGCGAACACAAACCTTTGCCTTTGCGTTTGCTCGTGTGAGCCTGTATGAGGCCTCAGAGCAGCCCCCGTGGCTTACACGCCCTGACACCGTAGGCCTAGGGGTGCGGGTGACTTGTCGTGCTCGCCGCTCTCGAAATCCGTTTGCTGCATAGCCTCCTCTCCGCCCCTCGGCGCACCCCGCACCTGTGCTCGCCGCACGGCAGTGCAGGCCTAAGGGTCAGAGTGTATTGACAGGCAGCCGTGGGGCTTCTTCTGCCGCGGCACTGGTGGGCGGGGGTGGGAGGCGAGGATTACCTGGCCGCCGGACAGTCCGACCACGGCCCAGCCGCACGCCCAGACCTCACCAGGGACGCGCTTTTGTCTGTGGCCGTCGCCTTCGTGTACAGCCGCTCCTCGGCGACCACCTCCCGACCTAAACGCGCCCTTCCGCTGGGCGTCGTCGGCGTCCTTCCGAGGCGGCCGCAGCGTCCTGGTGCTCGCGCAGAGTGTACCGCTGGTCGTGGTGGGGGCGCCGCTGCCGCCACCGTGCGGTCAGGGTCAGTTCGCCATGTGGAACGTGAGCCTGCAGTCGCTGCTGTTCTTCACCACCTGCGCCGTGGTCGGCTTCTACGCTGTCCTGGTGGCGCGCCTCATTTCCTCTTACGCCGTGACCGTCTAGAGCATGGCCTCCGCCCTGCCTCGCCTCGAGCGCTTCCACCTCTTCCTTATGCTGCTGTTCCTGGTCACCTACGCGCTCGTCGTGTACGTCACGAGCCTCAACTCAAGCGTGTGGGTGTGAAGTGGCTCGCGGCCACGGGGCGAGGGG